TTATTTTTTTTTCCTATGTATGTAAGGTTTCTTTTTTAAGAATAAAAACGTGAAAAATAAGTAGCCAAAGGTACCTGGGTAGAAACCAGAATCTTAACTGATAGACTATATAGTGTCAACAAAAAGAGTCAAACTCTGGAAAATATTTGATGAGATTTATTCTTTTTTTTATTTTTTTGACCATGGCCTGTGACAAAGTCCTCAGGAGATCCTGAGAACTTTTTTTCTTTTTTTTTGGGGAGCAGCTTGGTTTTATACATTTTAGGGATACAAGATTTTTTTGTTTTTTTCATGTAAGAAATACATGGGTTTGGCCCAGAAAGGTGGGACAACTCCAAGTGGGGTAGGAGGGGGCCTTCCAGCTTATAGGTAGATTGAAAAAATTTCTTTTTTTCTTTTTTTTGAGTTTAAAGAACTGGGATCAATAGAAAGGAATGTCTGGGTTTTTTTATTTTTTTGTGGAGACTAAAGTTTAATCATGCAGATGAAGCCTGCAGGTTCCGAGAGAATAGAATGTAAATGCTTCTTATCAGATCTAAAGATCTGTGTTGATGTTTTTTTTGTTTTTTTATAATGAGCCATGTTCGATCCCTACTTCCTGTCATGGCCAGAAAGTCTCTCAGTTTACATTTCTAAAGAGCGCCCTGGCCGAGGTGAAAGTACATTCTTTTTTTTTTTTTTTCTTGGTATTTTATTTTTGATTTACAATAGGAATGCATTGCATTTTTTTCTTTTTTTCCATTATTTGGAATCTATACTTATTTGATTTAGTACCTCAATTTTTTTCTTTTTTTTTTCTTCCATTCCCCTCCTCCTATCCCTATTCCTCCTTTTTCCTCTTCTCCTTACCCCTCTATTCCTTCCCTCTTTCCCATCTCCCCACTTCTCCCCTTTTTTTTTTTTTTTCCTCCCCTCCCCTCCCCTCCCCTTCTTTATCTGTTCCTTCCTTTTTTTATTTTTTTCCTCTTGGCACTTTGAGGCAACTACCAGCAGTTCCTTATGATTTTTTTGTTTTTTTGAATGTTGGTAGAGAAATATAGCTGATGAGTTGCTATAGGCTTTTTTTTTTTTTTTCTTGTGTTGACACACTTTTTCCTTAAGTTATGGGAGGATTTTAAAGTACAGAAGTAGTCTCCTCTGATTTGTGGTTTAAAAGAGTACTTCAGTTGAGGTTGCAGTGAGCCATGATTGTGCCACTGTACTCCAGCTTGGGTCATAGAGCAAAACCCTGTCTCAAAAACAACAACAACAACAACTACAAAGACGACAATAAGAAATTTTATTTTTTTTTTTTTTTTAGCACCTTGGGAGGCCAAGGCGGGCAGATCCCTTGAGACCATTTTTTTGTTTTTTTCAACAAAGTGAGACCCCAGTCTCAACAAAAACTAATTAATTTTTTTTTTTTTTTTTATAAAGGATCACTTGAGCAGCTTTTAGGGAGGATGGATGGTTTTTTTTATTTTTTTAAGGATACTGGCAGCAACAGGGAGACAGTAAATTTTTTTTTTTTTTTTTTTTTTTTGCAGGTTGGAGTGCAGTGGCACGATCTTGGCTCACTGCAACCTCCGCCTCCTGAGTTCAAGTGATTCTCCTGCCTTGGCCTCCTGAGTAGCTGGGATTATAGGTGCGTGCCACCACATCTGGCTAATTTTTGTATTTTTAGTACAGATGAGGTTTTTTTTTTTTTTTTAGGCTGGTATCAAACTCCTGACCTCAGGTGATCACCCCACATTGGCTTCCCAAAGTGCTGGGAATACAGGCGTGAGCCACCGTGCCTAGCTGAGACAGTAAATTTTTATAAAAGAGTGGTTTAAGGGGCCAGTTTGGCTGGTGAAGCCTGGGGTTTTTTTGTTTTTTTAGACATATTTAAAAGCTGCCTTTAGAAAGCAAGCACATATTTTTTTTTTTTTTTTTTTGGGGGGATGAGATGATTAATGAAGATAACTCACTCACTCTTTTTTTCTTTTTTTCTGCCACTGTGGAAAAATCACTTAGCAGGCTATTGTGGATGTTTTTTTCTTTTTTTATGATAGCTGGAACAAAAAGAGCAACAGTAAGAATAAGAGCTTTTTTTCTTTTTTTAACAGACTGATCATGACCTGGTCTCATTGACACATATGGAGTTTTTTTATTTTTTTGTGACTTCCTGATTTTGGACTCAGGATCTTTCATCAGACAATTTTTTTCTTTTTTTAGCTTGTTTGGGGGTAGTTGGTTGGAAGGAAACAAAAGATTTTTTTTTGTTTTTTTGAAGGATCACTAATCCGTGTAGAATAGCTTTTTTCTTGAGGTTTTTTTGTTTTTTTGAAAACGAATCACACAGGACCTCAAGTGGAAAGTGTGGGAGTTTTTTTTTTTTTTTCCCAACGGGTTCACCTTGCCTGCCGCTTAGACAGAGCTGATTTTTTTTATTTTTTTATTGCAATGGAGAAAGAGTAATTCATGCAGAGCCAGCTGTGTTTTTTTCTTTTTTTTTATTATTCAAATCAGTCTCAGGGCATTGAAATTTTTAAGATTTTTTTGTTTTTTTGGGGCTTGGGAAGTAGGGAGTGTTGACTGGTTGAGTTGGATTTTTTTTCTTTTTTTGCTCTAAGTGAGTTTTTCTTGCTATCCTCTGTTCCTGGGTGTTTTTTTATTTTTTTCTGGGCCAGATAACTGGTCTGAGTGCTGTAAGTGAAATGGGGAAAGTTCCCCTATCCCCCTTGCAGGGCATGCCACAGGGGGAATGGCTCGCTTCTTCAGAACCTCTAGGGGGAGTATGCAGACAGGCAGGCTGTGGGGCTCTGACCCCATGGCAACATCTAGGGGTGAAAATAACATTTGGGTGGGAAGGCAGGAGTGCCTATCCTCACCTAGGTCCCTGGGCACAGACTCGAGGGTGGAGCCCTAGCCAGGGACCCGCCTTTCTTTTTTTATTTTTTTCCTACCCCGCTCGTGTATCACAAGCTGATGCATCAGAATGCTTTTTTTGTTTTTTTTATCAAACAGTGATCTTAGGTTTTACAACAGTGATGTTATTTTTTTTTGTTTTTTTGGGAGGTTCAGACCGTTGCAACTGGAGGCTGCATGGCCCCTTTTTTTTATTTTTTTATCTTGTAGTTAATTTGTTAGTCCTGCAAAGGCTGACTGGTTTTTTTTTTTTTTTTTTGTTTTTTTTTTTTTTTTTTTTTTTTTTTTGGGTGGGAGGTTTTTTTATTTTTTTTATCAATTTTGTATCAGAGTTAAACTATAAACTAAATTCCTTTTTTTTGTTTTTTTGGCCTATACACAGGAATGAACAAGGACACCTTAAAGGTTAGTTTTTTTATTTTTTTGGTTAGGTCTGATCTCTTTTGCTGTCATAATTTCCTCAGTTTTTTTTTTTTTTTTTGCAGTTTCAATAATAGTACCCTTCTCTTCCTTCCTTCCCATTTTTTTTTTTTTTTTTAATATATGTACACAGTTATGTATAAATAATACATGTAGTATTTTTTTTTTTTTTTTTATAAATAATATAATTAACAAACTACACATGTATTAAAAATTTTTTTTTTTTTTTATTATTAATTAAATATAATTGTCATATTATCTTATTATATATTTTTTTTTTTTTTTAGAAACATATATAGCACAGAAGGGCTTCAGATAAAAAATAATTTTTTTCTTTTTTTTCACATCCTATCCCCTACCCCACTCTCCAAAAGCAACATCTTTTTTTTCTTTTTTTCATTTTTCCTGGTGTGCATACCCCTACCAGTAGTCTTTCTGTTATCAATTCTAGACTTTACTTATTTATAGATGGGGTCTCCCTATGTTGGCCAGGTTTTTTTTGTTTTTTTGGCCTCAAGTGATCCTCCCTCCTCAGCCTCTCAAAGTGCTGTTTTTTTATTTTTTTCCCACCACCCCCTGCCCTAGACTTTATTTATTGACTTCTTATTTTTTTATTTTTTTTACTTCCTGTTTTAAACAAGTGGGAAGATGAATGCGTGTGTTTTTTTTCTTTTTTTATCCCTGGTTTCAGCAATAACGATAATTTATACAGCACTTGTTTTTTTGTTTTTTTAGTTCTTAGCGCTTTGGATGTATTAATCATTTAATTACAAATTTTTTTGTTTTTTTTAATAAAAAGCAGGAAGGCAAAGAATGCTGAGTCTTCCCCGTTTTTTTCTTTTTTTGGTAACCAGCAGTAAAAGAGAGAAGCTCAGAGGCACTGAAATTTTTTTCTTTTTTTTTAATTCTCCATAGCGGATGAGTGGTGCCAGGCCCACCCACATGAAACAGGCTGAAGGCTCCCAGCGCCCTACCCCGCCCGAGGCGCGGAGCCTGAGTTTTTTTCTTTTTTTGATGACAGACGGCACTCTGGCTTTCCCGGAGCAGTCTCTATTTTTTTTTTTTTTTTCCACCCATCCCTTTGGTAGCGTCAGTCACGTGACAGACTCCTTTTTTTCTTTTTTTGCCCACGTGATCCTGGCCTGCAGTGGGGTGGCTGCGGTGAGTTTTTTTGTTTTTTTAAGGGCGAGCGGTTAGGTCGTAACTACCGCCTCCACTGGCCTTTTTTTCTTTTTTTCGGGCCCGGAAGCAACGAGCCAGCTCAGGCTTTCACCGCTTTTTTTTTATTTTTTTGGTCAGCTCTTTCTGCCTCCTCCGCCTTCGCGGTCCTCACCTTTTTTTGTTTTTTTTTACCTTTGGGTTGCCAGACCTTGGGGCCTGAGGCCCAAACTTTTTTTGTTTTTTTACCCACCTCTCTTTTCCTGTCATTCTCCAACTCTTACTTTGTTTTTTTGTTTTTTTTGGCCTTAGAGCTAGCCAGCTCGGCTGTGCCTTGAGGCCAGTTTTTTTGTTTTTTTGGTAACCGTGGGGAAAGCGGCCCCCCAGTGGACAAAGGCGGTTTTTTTATTTTTTTAAGCCTGAGGGCCATAGGGATGAGAATACGCGGTTGAGGGGTTTTTTTGTTTTTTTGCAACAAAAAACCCTAAAGACTACTGAAGATTTAGAAGGGATTTTTTTGTTTTTTTTGCGCAATGGAAGAATCTGACTCTGAGAAAACGATGGAGAATTTTTTTGTTTTTTTGAGAATGGATCCACCACTAGGGGAACCGGAAGGATCGCTTGTTTTTTTGTTTTTTTTTATGTCAAACTTGGAAGTGGGGGTGTTCAAATTGAAGAGATTTTTTTGTTTTTTTACACTTCTCCCCACCCCCCCCCATGATAAATTGCTTTGATTTTTTTTTATTTTTTTTTGGTATTATGCTTTGGACGATAGGATAAACTGGAAAGCGATTTTTTTCTTTTTTTGCAGAAACAACCCTTGGGAAGGGGCTGATACTCCTGGTGGTGGTGCTGGGGGAGTGTTCTAATTAAAGCAGTTCTGAGTTGCTTTGAATTATCAGTATTTTTTTTTTTTTTTCACCAGGTTGGGGATGGAAAGACTAGGAAGAAGATTTGCATTTTTTTTTTTTTTTTCAGTGGCTTGAGGGTGCTTTCTGTGCCAATTTGTACCTGAATTTTTTTCTTTTTTTATATCTACTTTGTGCCTGTGATGAGTGAAATAGGGCTTGGAAGGACAGCTGAAGGACTAAAAAGATACTTCCAGCTTTTAAAATTAGGAGGCTGAATTTTTTTTATTTTTTTAGGATATTCAATATTCAGTCCTCAAATAGAGGACATCAATATTTTTTTTTTTTTTTAAATAGAAAATATTGTTTGATTAAAGCAGCTGCATTGTTTTTTTTTTTTTTTTTTTATGAAAAATTGAATCTTGAATTTTAATGACTGATTTGTATTTTTTTTTATTTTTTTCTAGGAGTTCTCTCTTGAACTTCTACTTAGGAGATAGGGAGTTTTTTTATTTTTTTATAATTTAGGAAAATGAGGCCTCTATTCATCTCAGGTCCCATTTTTTTGTTTTTTTCTGTTGTACTAAACATGCTCTTTTGTACCTCCGTGTTTATTTTTTTTTCTTTTTTTTCAATTTCTAAGGGAATTGGATCATAGAAACTGTTTTTGGTTTTTTTTTTTTTTTTGGTGCTACCAAATACAGCCATGAAGAAAAAGGTAAGACGTGTTAGATACGTCAAAACCATGAAGGTAAAGGTAAGAAGTTGATATTCAGGAAGTTTGTTTTTTTTTTTTTTTATCTTTTCTGGACTATTGCAGGAGCCTTCTATGTGGTCTCTTTTTTTTTTTTTTTTTTGTATGCTATCTGGTTTAATTTTTCTAATATGAAAATCTGTTTTTTTCTTTTTTTTACTTAAGAACCTTTAGTAACTTCTTTAAGCCCGTGGAATATTTTTTTATTTTTTTCATGGTCCTTTAAAAATCTGTTCCTGACCAAACCCTCTGCCTTTTTTTCTTTTTTTTTCGCAGCCATACAGAATTTATTGTTCTCCAGATTTACAAATTTTTTTGTTTTTTTTGTAAGCCATATACCACACACCATACAGGCCTCTGTCTGCATTTTTTTTTTTTTTTTAACTCAAATGTTACCACTATAAGGTCTTATGTGAGTTCTTTTTTTTTATTTTTTTACACCTTCCTTTGTGCTGTCATAGTACTGTGCCCTACGTTGTTTTTTTGTTTTTTTTGCTGAGTGCAGCTCAAGCTAATTTCTTAACCTTTTGGGGCTTTTTTTTTTTTTTTTGTAAAATGGTAGTAATAATATTAACTATATCATAGGATTGTTTTTTTGTTTTTTTTAGTAAATGCCTGTAGAACACTTAGATCAGTACCTAACATGTTTTTTTTTTTTTTTTCTTTCATAGGCAATTAAAAGAGGTACATTGTATAAATTAATTTTTTTATTTTTTTTACCATATTTTGCCTTAGCTTCATCTAATAATTCAGTTCTGTTTTTTTATTTTTTTAAGGGAGTGTTCTTGATGAGCCTGTCTGAAGTTGCTTTCATTTTTTTTGTTTTTTTATACCAGAAATTTCTACATGATTAAGAACAAAAATTAGTTTTTTTTTTTTTTTTTTCATTGTATACATGTATCAAAACATCGCGTTGTACCTCCTAATTTTTTTGTTTTTTTATTAACATTTTAAAGAACAAAAGCAAACTTTTTGCGGCAACTTTTTTTTTTTTTTTCAGTGACATTTCCTTAGTGAGATAAAGTTATGTAGCTAAAATTTTTTTATTTTTTTAAGCCTAAGTGTAATATATTTCATCAATACTCCTTATATTTTTTTTTTATTTTTTTAATAAAATATCTTAGGATTGAAGGTAGAATATAGATTCCCTTTTTTTTATTTTTTTGGTAAGGCTGAGCATGGTGGTTCATGCCTGTAATCCCTGCATTTTTTTATTTTTTTGCGGGTGCATTGCTTGAGGCCAGGAGTTCAAGATCAGCCTGTTTTTTTTTTTTTTTCCCTGTCTGTACTAAATATACAAAAAAAATTAGCTGGACATGATGGTGCATGCCTGGAATCCCAGGCATGGGATGGCTGAAGTGGGGTGGCTGAGGCACGAGAATCACTTGAACCTGGGAGGCGGAGGTTGCAGTGAGCCGAGATCATGTCGCTTTTTTTCTTTTTTTATGATAGAGCGAGGCTTGGTCTCAAAAAAAATAGAAAGAAATTTTTTTATTTTTTTGTAATTGGAACTATATTTCGTAAATTCTAGATTTGAAAGAATTTTTTTATTTTTTTTTACTAAATTTCCTTTTAGTATAAGAGTATACAACATCTTTTTTTTTTGTTTTTTTTGTGAGATGCTGACATTGACAGGAAGGCTGCTTACCTTCATTTTTTTTCTTTTTTTCTTGGACAATTCTCACTGTCAGATACTCTCTTGCTTTATATTTTTTTTTTTTTTTTTTGCTTGTCCTTTTGATGTACATACTTGGAGCATCTGTTGTTTTTTTTGTTTTTTTGGTATGAGGGGACTCTCTCTCCCCTTGCAGAGCTCAGAGTCTTTTTTTATTTTTTTACAGACCCCCCCCAAAATAAGTAACTGCAGTGCATTATAGTTTTTTTTATTTTTTTACAGTGCCATGGGAGGACAGAGGTAAGACACTTAAGTCAGCTTTTTTTATTTTTTTCAGAATATCTTCTTGCAAAAATGATTAATGAACCAAGTCTTTTTTTTTATTTTTTTTTTAGCTGAAGGAAGAAGGAGAATGGATAGTTTACTGGCAGTTTTTTTTTTTTTTTACAATGGCACAGATGCAGGACCTTCCAGAGGGTTGGGAGTATTTTTTTGTTTTTTTAGCAGTTCAATTAAGTGTGGCTGTAAGCTAAAACTTTCAGGCCAAGAGGGACAGGAGATGAGGGATGAGAAGTAGATAGACTAGATCAAGGAGGGTCTTATATGTAGTCTGAGGACTTCATCCTGCAGGCCATGGGAAGCTTTTGAAAAGAAATTTTTTTGTTTTTTTTAAATGGAACAAGAGCATAGCGGTAAGTGGAAGGGATGAGATCAAAGGCAGAGGTGGAAAGATTGACCTTGAGCAGGAGGAGGAAGAACTTTCAGTTTTTTTTTATTTTTTTGCTAAGTAATTCAGATAACAAAACATTGGGTTATGTTAGAATTTTTTTTTTTTTTTTCTAAACGTGGTATTTTTCTAATGTGTTTCTGAACATATTATTTTTTTATTTTTTTAGCATAGAGTCAGTGTAATTCTGTCACTTAAAGGATGTGTGTTTTTTTATTTTTTTGTGTCTGGCTTCTGGAATTCTAAGTATCTCTGCATTCAGCCTTTTTTTGTTTTTTTTTAGTTAGTTGTGAGTATCCACACCAGGTTGTTGGTATTGTTTTTTTTGTTTTTTTTCAAATCCAGGAGAGAAATAGATCCCTTTAGACTTGATTTGCTCTAGATTGCTAACTTTTTTCCTTTCCTTTTCCCTACTTTGTCCTTAGGTGCTGTTTTTTTTTTTTTTTTGATCTGGTAAGACCAGCATGAGGTCTATTATCTTTGCAAATTTTTTTTCTTTTTTTACACGTCGCCTTGGCGCAACAAGTAAGATGTTTTATCTTATTTTTTTTTTTTTTTTTTTTAACTCTTAATAATCTGCATAACACACTTGTTTGCAGTTTTTTTTGTTTTTTTAAAGGTTGGGGGATTTGTTATGGAGCATGTTTACCCTTTTTTTTTTTTTTTTTTTTGAGGTATGGCCTAATTCCAGTTACTGCTGCTTGCTCTCTTCTTTTTTTTTTTTTTTTTTCTAGGTTGTTTATGAAGTGGATTGCCCTTATCCAACTTTTTTTTTATTTTTTTATTTCTTAAACAAGCATTGTTTGTTCGTCTTGTGGGGAGAGTGTTTTTAACTCTTATACAAAGGGAAATTCATAGGTATTAACAAGCATAACAGTAATTTTTTTTTTTTTTTTTTAAAGCAGTAGTTACACCTTGTCTTCGTTAAAAGGTAAATTTTTTTGTTTTTTTGGAAAGAGGTTAACTTGATCTGTACTCTGCTACTTCTTTTCTTTTTTTCTTTTTTTTGATCTCATTAGAGTTTTGGTTCTGATTTAGGGAATATGTTTTTTTTTTTTTTTTTTTGAGTGTTAGTATGTACTAATTGGGCTGCCATGGACAGTGTTTTTTTGTTTTTTTGAGAGCCCTTCTGTCTCTGGGTTGTACTGCCATTTCCTTCTTTTTTTTTTTTTTTTTTCTGGATTCTGCTTGGTCCTTTATTTTTAGGGACAGGCCATTTTTTTCTTTTTTTAGTTCCTGAAGTTTCAAAAACAGCAGCATTTTAAAAACACATTTTTTTTTTTTTTTTAGGAAATAAAAGAGAAGGAAACCTCATTTCTATTCTTATGTTTTTTTGTTTTTTTGTGTAGACTCTCATAATTGGGGCAGCTTTGATGACTAGAAATTTTTTTCTTTTTTTTATTTTTTGTTGTTATTGTTTAAGATGGAGTCTTGCACTCTTTTTTTTATTTTTTTGTGCAGTGGTGCAGTCTTACCTCCTGGGTTCAAGTGATTCTTGTGCCTCAGCCTCACGAGTAGCTGGAATTACAGGCACCCACAACCACGCCCAGCTTTTTTTTTTTTTTTTCCAGAGACAAGGTTTCACCGTGTTGGCCAGGCTGATCTCTAACTCCTGACCTCAAGTGATCTGCTTGCCTCTGCTTCTCAAAGTGCTGGGATTACAGTTTTTTTCTTTTTTTCCTGGCCTCTTTCTTTTTTTTTTTTTTCTGTTAGCTTGTTCTTTTTTTGTTTTTTTAAGCCTCTACAAAAATTTGAGGATAGTCATTGTCTGAGTTTTTTTTTTCTTTTTTTTGCCTCACAAATCTTTTTTTTTTTTTTCTTTTTGGAGACAGTTTTTTTCTTTTTTTTCCAGGCTGGAGTGCAGTGGCATGATCTCAGCTCACTGCAATTTTTTTCTTTTTTTTCAAGGGATTCTCCTGAATCAGCCTCCCAAGTAGCTGGGACTTTTTTTGTTTTTTTCCACATCCAGCTAATTTTTTTTATTTTTAGTAGAGATGGGATTTTTTTATTTTTTTCAAGCTAGTCCCGAACTCCTGACCTCAGGTGATCCTCCCGCTTTTTTTTTTTTTTTTGCTGGGACTACAGGTGTGAGCCACCATGCCCGGCCATCTTTTTTTTTATTTTTTTTCTTCCTTATGTTAAAAATGTCCAGCTCTTCCATCTATTTCTTTTTTTATTTTTTTTGAAACATTTTTAAGGACTTGTTCAAACTTGTCTACATTTTTTTTTTTGTTTTTTTACTTGGATGCAGGTGGAGTCTGATCAGGGCAGAGTGGGCCTTTTTTTTCTTTTTTTCTGGACATTACATTGCTGTTAGCACAGTCTAACATGTATCCTTTTTTTCTTTTTTTAGTTTTGTTATGAGGAGTCTTACCAGAAAACCCTTTCAAATTTTTTTTATTTTTTTTTCAAATATGTTGTTATTAAAACACATACCCTTCTGGCTTTTTTTTTTTTTTTTTTTTAAACCAAAGAATAAATGCTTACTTCTATTAAATTATTTATTTTTTTTTTTTTTTGCCCATGATATGTTCCTGTACCCTTTGTTTGTTAACTGTGATTTTTTTATTTTTTTCAATCCCTTTTTTCTCATCCATAAAAAAAGGGATTGGATCCTTTTTTTATTTTTTTTACTTATTCTCTTATCTGATATATTAGCTATATTTCCTAACTTTTTTTATTTTTTTCATTTGATGAATATCTCATCTAGTTTTCATCTAAGTCATTGTTTTTTTGTTTTTTTCAGGATAATGTCCCATGGCCTGTCATGCCTCTATAATTGACTTTTTTTGTTTTTTTCTCTGGAAAGTCTACCTGTCCAAACTTCTCTCTGTCTTGATTTTTTTTATTTTTTTTTTTTTTTTTTCTTTCAAGTTAAATATTTGGGCCTAATTACTTTTTTTGTTTTTTTAGATTAGAGGAAGCTAATGGTTACTGAACAACTGTTATTTGTTTTTTTTTTTTTTTCTGTTTTATTTACTTTAGTTCTCATCTTAACTTCATTTTTATTTTTTTTTTTTTTTGAGGTACAACTTAGAAGTTAATATCACTAAGCTAGGAAGTATCAGAGCTGGAATGTCAATCTATGCTCTTCCCTTATTCCTTATGCCACATTCTATCTTTTTTTCTTTTTTTTAACAATTCCTGGCAGACGTATTTTTATTTCTGTTTTAAATTTTTTTTATTTTTTTGAAGCACCTTTTTCTAATCCAGTTGCTGTTGCTGTTTTTATTTTTTTTATTTTTTTTGACTTATTACCCTGAATCCAGAGAACAGTCTTGCAACCAACATTTCAGAGCTATTCAAACTGCTTGAAATAGTTTTGATATAACCTAGCAGCCTTATTTTTTTCTTTTTTTTGCGAATTATATGAACCCTATACATTAAGGCAAACCATTTATTTTTTTATTTTTTTTCTGGAACTTTTTATGTAGGAGGCACAGAGAACAGGACAGAACTCTTGTCCTTGGAATATCTCAAGCAGAACCTTTATTACTAATACTTTGTTAGTATTTTTTTTTTTTTTTTACAGGTAGTGAAAGTATACTTTAAAATACTATGTTTTAGGTTTTTTTCTTTTTTTAGTTTGTCATTGCTAAAGAAATACCTGGGTTCTACTGCTAATTTTTTTGTTTTTTTCAAAATACATATATAGTGCATTACTTTTTACTTGATAGTCCTTTTTTTGTTTTTTTTGATTTTCTTTAAAAGTAGTAAGAGTACTTTTAAAATATTATTTTTTTTTTTTTTTTTTAGTGTTTTTCTAGTTTCTCATTGCTGAAAATAGTCCAGTTTTATTTTGTTAAACTTAGAGCCTACTGTGTTTTGAAATTTGAAGTAAGAGTACATTTTTTTGTTTTTTTTAATTTATTAGGGGGCTGCTAAAATGTATTTGTTGGAACAGTTTTTTTGTTTTTTTAAATGATTATGAAGTATTTTAGTCTCAAACACTGTTGACAGCTCCAAGATTTCCTACCTTCTCAAAATTCTCTGTTCCCTTGGCTTTTATTTAATGCTTTTTTTCTTTTTTTTTCTTCCATTATCTTTAACCATCCCATCTCTCTTTAAAAAAAACTTTATCATAGTATTTTCTTCTTTCTGCCCCGTAAGTGTGTGTCATTCCCCAAATTTTTTTTTTTTTTTCTTTTTAGTTGTTCTTGTGATAATAGGGTAGGAAGACTAGGTTTTTTTGTTTTTTTTATATGGAAGACATGAGACTAAAGAGGGAAGCAGGAAGTGGTTTTTTTGTTTTTTTAATGTCTTGTAAGCCAAGTTAGGTAGTAGGACCTGAGGGTATTTTTTTTTTTTTTTAGAAGAGCGATATTTTACAGGTCCCGGGGATTAGGGAAAATTTTTTTTATTTTTTTAAAAGCAACATGAGCAGATTTATATTTTATATTTTTAATTTTCAGTTTTAATTACAAAAGTAGTACCTGTGAAAAATTCAAACATTACAGACGTGTGTTTTTTTTTTTTTTTCCCTCTCAGGCCTGCTTCCTAGGGACAACCACAATTAGTAGTTTTTTTGTTTTTTTTCTGGCCCTTTCTTTTCTGGGTGTATACAATTGTGCATATGTTTTTTTATTTTTTTTTTTTCTGTTTAAAGAAGAATGAAAATCTGCATTTTGGAGATTTTTTTCTTTTTTTGTAATATGGAGGATAGCTTGGAGGGAGGCAAGGTTAGAAAGTTTTTTTTTTTTTTTGAAACTATTTTAGTAGACCAGGTGAGAGATGATGGGGGCTTTTTTTTTGTTTTTTTGATGATAGTGGATATGGCGAGAAGCAAATGGATTTGAGATCTTTTTTTGTTTTTTTGTCAGCCAGACTTCCTGGTAGATTTAGGGAGAATGATGAGGAAAAAAAGCGGACTGAAGGATGAAACTGAGGTTTTGGCCTAGGCAACTGGTTGAATTTTTTTTGTTTTTTTAGACTGAAAGAGGAATAGATTTGTAGGAAGAAAGGGGAGATTTTTTTTTTTTTTTTCTTGGATACGTTGAGTTTGGGATACTTGTGGTTTATTCAAATTTTTTTTTTTTTTTTATGTCAGAAAAGTAGGAGAGAAATCTGTCCTAGAGATACCTTTTTTTGTTTTTTTAGTGTCTAAATGGCAAATAAAATAATATAAATAGACTAGCTTTTTTTTGTTTTTTTGGCCAAGGATGGAGTCCTGAAGAACTCCCAACATTTAAGGGTTTTTTTGTTTTTTTGGAATTGTAAGGGAGGATCTGCCAGAGAAGTTGTAGATATGTTTTTTTATTTTTTTAGAAGAGAATTTTTTGAGAAGAGAGTAGTCAACAGTGTCATTTTTTTTATTTTTTTACAAGGACTAAAAGGTCCATTGGATTTGGTTATGGGGCCATTTTTTTTTTTTTTTTAATAATTTCTATGATATGGGAGTAGAAACCTGATTTCTATCTTTTTTTCTTTTTTTCTAAACAGTCACTGAATCCTGTCACTTCTTTTGTTATTGTCTTTCCCTTTCTCAGTAGCACTTCTTTCCATTTTTTTTTAGTACTAGACCGTATACATTTTTTTCTTTTTTTTAGCAGTTTGAGCACCTACTCTCTCGTAGACTCTGTTGGAATTTTTTTGTTTTTTTAGATATGATTCCTTTTCCAAGGAGGGGGAAGTAAAGGGGAGTTTTTTTGTTTTTTTAGCACCTACTACGTGCCAGGCACTTTATGTATGATAATTCATTTTTTTCTTTTTTTAATCCTGTGAGGTCAATGCTATGCCCCGCGCCCCCCTGCCCACTTTCTTTTTTAATAGAAGAGGAAACTAATACTCAGAGCTTAAGTGACTTGCCCAAGGTCACACAGAGAGGTAGAGCCATGATATTTGAATGAAGATTTGTTCGACTCCAATTTTTTTGTTTTTTTAAATAATGCTCTGCTGCTTACAATGTAGTTTATAAGAAGATTTTTTTTCTTTTTTTTTAGATAGCAGTCAATTTAAGCAATAGCTTTGAGATAGTCATTTTTTTATTTTTTTTGTGTGATTGATTATCACAAATTGTATAGATTATAATTCCTTTTTTTTGTTTTTTTTTCAGGATAAAATCTTTCATTATTACTCCTTGGGATTTTTATTTTTTTGTTTTTTTTAGATGCTTAATAAATGTTTGAATGAATTCAGAGGGAGAGATTTTTTTATTTTTTTGTAGCCAGGCAGGGCTTTTAGAGGAGGTGGGATTTAGGCTGTTTTTTTATTTTTTTATATAGTTTGAAAGAAAGATGGGGAGGGCTTTCCAGGCAGATTTTTTTATTTTTTTAAGAATAGAGGGGAGGGAAGTGTAACTCAGAGGTCGCAAACTTTTTTTCTTTTTTTTGGATAAGACCTGTAGATGTGTTTTGTTTGGCCCATGTGATTTTTTTTATTTTTTTCAATTAGTTATCAACATGTAAAAGTTTTCATAAAAATATGGTTTTTTTATTTTTTTTGAAAAACTTAAAGGTCTGGTAACCCAGAGCCCCCATTCCTTTTTTTTATTTTTTTCAGAGCTGAGTAACTGCTGCTCACTCTACTATCCCATTGGGTTTTTTTTTTTTTTTCATATGTGGCCAACTTTGCTCATATACGTTTACTGGCCTGGTTTTTTTTTTTTTTTTTGCGACCCCTGGTGTAAAGTATTTTGGGGGTTGGGGAGGTAGTGGGGTTTGGGAGGACTGTGAATAAACCAAATTGGGCTGGAGTGAAAGGCTTTATTTTTTTGTTTTTTTGGGGAATGTATAGGTAGACTGGAAGCCAAATTGTGAAGGACTTTTTTTGTTTTTTTATAGGCATGGAGGAGCCATTGAAAGTGTTTTGAATGGGGAGTTTTTTTTTTTTTTTAGTGTTAAGAAGATGAGCCTGACAGTAGCCTGTAGGATGAATTTTTTTTTTTTTTTGCTTTTTGGTGGGGAGGTCAGTTATGGAGCTATTGTAGTAGTTTTTTTATTTTTTTAGGGGCTTCCTTAGTGTTTGTGGTGGGTTATAAAATAAAGATTTTTTTTTTTTTTTATTACAAAGGACTAGCAATGTATTGAATGTGGATAGAAGAGTTTTTTTTTTTTTTTAGTTAGGGTCATTAACTGGAAAGGAAATCAATAGCAGGAGTTTTTTTTGTTTTTTTTTATGTTTGTTTTTTGTTACTTTTTTAAAAAAATTTGTGTGTTTTTTTGTTTTTTTTGGGGGCAGGTGGGACAGGGAAGACTGATTAAATGGTATATTTTTTTTATTTTTTTAAATTTTAACATAAGTATCGTAATTGGAGATTGTTTCTGCTTTTTTTTTTTTTTTTCTAAAAAGTAAAATGACTTACATGAGAGCCAATTCTGTAGCTTTTTTTATTTTTTTTGCCCACCTTGCCACTAAACCACACTACTCAGCTGAAAATCTTTTTTTTTTTTTTTCTTTGAGCATTTCACTCCACTTTGGTCCTTCTAAATTTCATTTTTTTTTTTTTTTTTTATTTTGAATTTCACTTCACCTGCTATAATTACTAGATCTTTTTTTTTTTTTTTTCAGTTGATGTAGAACATTCTCATGTTCGATTTCTGGGAAACTTTTTTTTTTTTTTTTGGGATTGTGGTGGGTAAGTACCATCTGCTTACTTGTTTGTTTTTTTTATTTTTTTAATCATGGCATCTAGCATATCAGCATGGTGAATACACCTAGTTTTTTTATTTTTTTTAATAGATTAGATAGAAATTAGTTCAAAATTGACACTTGAGTTTTTTTATTTTTTTGACTTTTATGGAATTGTGAAAATGCCCTCTGTATGTGACATTTTTTTTTTTTTTTTATCCAAGCTCTATCTAGGTATCTGTAGTTTGGGATAGATTATTTTTTTTTTTTTTTGAATAAATTAGGTTTCTGTCTCAGGCATCCTGACACCAGTGTTTTTTTCTTTTTTTTCATACCATACTACTTTGTTCTTAGTAATAAAACATCAATATTTTTTTCTTTTTTTTCTCAATACTGTAGATCAGACACTGAGCACACATTCTCTAGTTTTTTTATTTTTTTTTTGGAAGAGTAGGAGTTAGCTCTTCCTCTTATGAGCAAAGTTTTTTTCTTTTTTTCCATCACAAATGTACACACACTATGGATGTATGCTGATGTTTTTTTTTATTTTTTTGCCATTGCATCTCTGTGCTGAAGGAGCAGTGTGCATTGCACAGTGGATAGGAGCATAGGTTTTGGAGTCAGATTGGGGTTTGCACCTCAGCTCTGTTTTTTTTTTTTTTTTTGGTAAATCATTTAAACTCTCTGAGCCACAGTTTCTTCATCTTTTTTTTATTTTTTTCAATGGTACCAGCTCATAGGGTTGTTTTGATGATTAAGATATTTTTTTCTTTTTTTCATAGCAGAGTGCCTCACAAAATGCATAGATATTGTTAGCTTTTTTTTTTTTTTTTCTTAGCATAGAGCCAGCCATAGAGTGGGTGCTCAGTGAATATTTTTTTATTTTTTTATGCAATAGCTAAATACTCTATAAGAAAATGACTCCATTCCTTTTTTTATTTTTTTCACTTAACATCCTAGCACCTATCTCCATACAAATCCTTCCTTTTTTTTATTTTTTTTAATTTTCGAATCCGTGTTAAGACATTAGTCCCAAGTCCCTTTTTTTTATTTTTTTAGATGTGATGATCTTCGTTTTTACAGATAAGGCAGCTGAGGTTTTTTTATTTTTTTATTCTGCTGAGTTCACACAGCTAATTAATAGCAAAGTGCAGTTTTTTTATTTTTTTTGCTGATTTTTTTCTCCTACTACCGGATGCTACTGTTTTCTTTTTTTTATTTTTTTATTGAGAGCTTCCTGGAAAGCAGCACTTAGCCTAAGGAGCATTTTTTTATTTTTTTAAAAAAATACAAAAAAACTAGCTGGGCGAGGTGGCGGGCGCTTTTTTTCTTTTTTTCTCGGGAGGCTGAGGCAGGAGAATGGCGTAAACCCGGGAGGTTTTTTTTTTTTTTTGCTGAGATCTGGCCACTGCACTCCAGCCTGGGCGACAGAGCTTTTTTTCTTTTTTTAAAAAAAAAAAAAAAAAGTTACCATTGGAGTCATTTTAATGTTTTTTTGTTTTTTTGACTGTTGAGTTATTCATTCAGCAAATTTTCATTGAGTACTTTTTTTTGTTTTTTTCTGGGAAACTATGAAGAATAGTAAAATACATGGAACTTGCTTTTTTTTGTTTTTTTTGGTATTAATGAAAAACTCTCACAAACAAGTGTAATAACTTTTTTTTTGTTTTTTTAGTAAGAGGAATGTATTGATATAAGAGCCTATGCTTAGTGGTTTTTTTTTTTTTTTGGCCATGGGCAGTTTCTGTGAGGAAATATGGATTGAACTGATTTTTTTATTTTTTTGCAGGGGTTAACTAGATGAAGAGGTGGGGGGTAGCATCTGAGACAGAGTGAACAGCATGTGTAAAGGCTACATAGTGGATAAACCATGTGTCACTTGAGGAATTGAGAAAAAGTCAGTGTGTTTAGAATATAAGGAGAGGGGCAGAGAAATGGATCTGGTACAGGAGAATCAGTGGGACCTGGTAAGAAACAGAAAAGGGGCTGCACCAAATGGTTGACATGCTTTGCAAACTTCTTTTGTTGGCTCAAGTTGTGCCTCAAGAGGTTTTTTTGTTTTTTTAGACTTATTTGTTATGATTTGCCCTTTAGATTGAAGCCTTATTTTTTTCTTTTTTTTTGATCAAGCCAACAAAAATAGGTCATAAGGAGGAGTGATTGAACTGCGGATTTGCTTACTATATATTTTTTTTCTACCAGGCAAGACACCTTCATGTTTTTTTATTTTTTTAGCCAACGGGACAACATCTTCCGAAATGTGGAGGTTCTGATTTTTTTTTTTTTTTTGGAGAGCCGCGAACTGGAAAAGGACATGCACTATTACCAATTTTTTTTGTTTTTTTTTCTGCAGAACTCTCCAGATGCCAAAATATTTTGCTTGGTATTTTTTTTTTTTTTTGTACAGGAGGATCAACGGGACCTGGTAAGAAACAGAAAAAGTTTTTTTCTTTTTTTTTGACATGCTTTGCAAACTTATTTTGTAGAGGTATAGGTTATTTTTTTCTTTTTTTTTCAGGAATAAAAGGTCAGCAGAAATTTTCAAAGTAAAGTTTTTTTTTTTTTTTTTACAAAACACTCTTTTAAACACATTTTCAATGATAAGGGAAATTTTTTTTTTTTTTTTAAATAATTTTCAGAATTAGGCAAGAAATCTGTCCAAGTGATTTTTTTATTTTTTTTTTATTTATTTTTAAAATATATTTGCTGCCCCAGTTTTATTTTTTTTTATTTTTTTGAGGTAGTGTCAAGGTTAAGACCCACTAGGAGTGAGATGAATTTTTTTTTTTTTTTTCATTAGATTGACTTAGGAAACTGGTATATACCAGTTCAAGTTTTTTTCTTTTTTTGTTAGGCACTATGCCAGGTCCCTCATAATTGCACTGATATAGTAAATTTCTCTTTCTGACGTGGGAGTTAGTACACACAAATTTAAACCAGAGAAGGTTTTTTTGTTTTTTTTGTCACCAAGATAGTGGAGTAGGAGATAACCAGTCTTCATTTTTTTTTATTTTTTTAAATATAGATAGTTATCTACAAACCAAAATAGCCCCGAGAATTTTTTTATTTTTTTTATAGAAAGACATAGTAAAATGGGTAAAATCCTGCTTAGCTTTTTTTTTTTTTTTTTGGCAAGTCATATAGTCTAGCTTCAATATAGTCTGTCTAGTTTTTTTTATTTTTTTTAAGAGGATTGGATTTTAAGGTCTATGCTGAAAGAGAAGATTTTTTTTTTTTTTTTAGGGTATGAAACTAAGGAAAGCAGTTTTGGGATATGCTGGTTTTTTTTATTTTTTTAGTTACTCTTTGAGTTGGAGTATAAGAATCTAAGGAAATCCTTTTTTTATTTTTTTTTTTGGTAATTGCTCTGGTAAGGAATACTTCTTTATATGACTTTTTTTATTTTTTTCTCCACTGTTCTAGTGTTTTGATATTTATAGGTTAGCTTATTTTTTTTCTTTTTTTTTTGAAGGGTTCCATATTTGACTCAGAAAACTGCTTTTGATTTTTTTTTTTTTTTTTTAGCTCTTCCTCAACTTCTGTCATTAAGTATTAATTACTATTTAATACCTAATAATTAATATGGTTTTAATTCAGCATAAAATCATGTGTGTAACTTGGGTCTTGAGTTTGTGAGGGCCTTGTTACTGCGCTTGCTGTTTTGTTCTCGTTTGTTTTTTTATTTTTTTTTATTTCCTAGCCAAAATTGCAGTAGAAAAATTTACAGCATTTTTTTTATTTTTTTCCTTTAAACATTTAGAAGTGTTTTATTCACTTGTAATTTTGTGGTTTTTTTTAGTATTTTTATTTATTTTATTATTTCAGTAGCTTTATGGTTATGTGTGGTTTTTGGTTACATGGATGAATTGTACTATGGTCAAGTCTGGGCTTTTAGTGCATTCATCACTTGAATAGTGTACATTATACCCAGTAGATAATTTTTCTTCCCTCACCTTTTTTTATTTTTTTGTTTCTGTGTCTCCAGTGTCCATTATACCACTCTGTATGCCTTTTTTTATTTTTTTCTTAGCTCCCACTTACAAGCGAGAATGTGCAGTATTTGGTTTTTTTTTCTTTTTTTATAAACAAGAGATAGTTTGACTTCCTTTTTTCAATTTGGATTTTTTTTATTTTTTTGTCTTGCCTGATTGCTCTGGCTAGGACTTCTAGTACTATGTTTTTTTTATTTTTTTAAAGTGAGTATAATTGTCTTTTTCCAGTTCTTAAGGGGAATTTTTTTTATTTTTTTCCATTCATTTTGATGTTGGCTGTGGGTTTCTCATAAAAGGCTTTTTTTATTTTTTTGTATGTTTCTTCTGTACCTAGTTTGTTGGAGGTTTTTCATCTTTTTTTGTTTTTTTGTTTTATTGAATGCTTTTTCTGCATCTATTAAGATGACCATATGGTTTTTGTTTCTAATTCTGTTTATATAGTGAATCACATTTATTGACTTGTGTATTTTTTTCTTTTTTTGCATCCCTGGGATGAAACCGACTTGATCTTGGTGAATGATCTCTTTGATGTGCTGGTAGATTAGGTTTGCTAATATTTAGTTGAAGATTTTTGCATTTTTTTTTATTTTTTTTATTGATTTGTAGCTTTCTTTTTTTATGTCCTTTTGTGGCTTTGGTATCAGGATGACACTGGCTTTGTAGAATGAGTTAAGGAGGATTCCCTTATTGTTTTTTTTTTTTTTTAGTTTCAGTTGGATTGGCATCAGTTCTTTGTCTCATAGAATTTTTTTTTTTTTTTTTCTGGTCCTGGGTGTTTCGTTTGTTTGTTTGTTTTGTTTTGTTTTTTTGTTTTTTTGATTTTGGGCTTTTTTTTTTTTTTCTTTTTTTTAACTGATTTTTTTTTATTTTTTTTTAGTGCTCTGTTCAGGATTTCTTTTTTTTTTTTTTTTTCCTTTTTTTATTTTTTTTGGTTGTGTATTTCCAAGAATTTATCCATTTCCTCTAGATTTTGTACTTTGAGTGCATAGAAGTGTTCATAGTAGTCTCAGTCATCCTTTGTATTTCTGTGTTATCAGTATGATGTTTCCATTTTCATTTCTGATAGAGCTTATTTGAATCTTTTTTTTTTTTTTTTTCTAGCTAGTGGTTTATTAATTTAGTTTATCTTTTCAAAGAATTTTTTTTTTTTTTTATTGACCATTGTATTTCTTTAATTTATTTTCAGTTTTCTTGTTTTTTTCTTTTTTTTTTGTTATTTCTTATTTCTTTTCTTCTGCTAGCTTTGGGTTTGGCTTGTTCTTGTTTCTCCAGTTCATTGAGGTGTGATGTTAGGTTGTAAATTTGTTTTTTTTTTTTTTTTTTGATGTAGGCATTTAGTGCAATAAACTTTGATCTTAGCACTTTTTTTGTTTTTTTCCGGAAATTTTGATAACTTGTGTCAGTATTTTCACTCATTTCAAAAACATTTTTAATCTCCATCTTGATTTTATTTTTGACCCAAAGATCATTCAAGAGTAGACTATTTAATTTCCATATATTTGTATGGTTTTGAGAGTTCCTCTTGGAAATTTTTTTTGTTTTTTTTCTGCTTTGAGTTGATTCGATACTTGATATGCTTTTGATTTTTTTTTTTTTTTTTTGTCTTGTTTTGTGGCCTGGCATATGGTCTATCTTGAAAAAGTCCCATGTGCTGACAATAAGAATGTCTATTCTGCAGTTTTTGGGTAGAATTTTCTGTTTTTTTCTTTTTTTTCCACTTGTTCTAGAGTCCAGTTTAAGTCCAGTGTGTGTTTTTTTTTTTTTTTTTTCAATGATCTATCCAGTGCTGTCCATGGGGTGTTGTAGTCCTTTTTTTTATTTTTTTTGCTTTCTATCTCTTTTTCTTAGGTATAGTAGTTTCTGTTTTTTTTTTCTTTTTTTTCTGGAGTTAGGCGTGCATATATTTTGGGTTGTTGTATCTTTTTTTTTATTTTTTTTCTTTATCATTGTATAGTGACATTTTTTGTCTTTTTTACTGTTTTTTTTTTTTTTTCTGTTTTATCTAAGAATAGTTATTCCCACTCACTTTTGGTTTTTTTTTATTTTTTTTATTTTTCCTCCCCATTTACCTTAAGTCTATAAGCATCTTTACAAGTTAACTGGGTATCTTGCAGACAGCAGATATTTGGTTTGTGTTTTTTTCCATTCTGTCCATCTGTATCTTTTAAGTGGCACATTTAGACCATTTACATTCAATGTTAATATTGACATGTGATGTACTGTTGCAGTCACCGTGCTGCTACCTAGTTGCTTGATTTTCTTCAATGTGTTACAGTTATATAAGTCCTGTGAAATTTTTGCATTCAAGTGTTTTTTTTTTTGTTTTTTTGACCTTTCATTTTGATATTTAGAACTCCTTTTGCATTTCTTTTTTTTTTTTTTTTTTGGAGACAAATTCCATCAGCATTTGCTTGTCTGGGAGAGACTTTTTTTCTTTTTTTTTTATGAAACTTGGTTTTGATAGATAGAGAATTCTTGGCTGACAGTTATTCCATTTGAGGAGACTAAAGATAGGACTCAATCCCTTTTGGCTTGTAAGATTTCTGCTGAGAAATCTGCTGTTAGTCTGATAAGTTTTTCCTTTATAAGTTATCCAATACTTTTGTCTCACTCTTCTTAGAATTCTTTCCTTCATGTTGACTTTAGATAGTTTTTTTATTTTTTTATGTCCTTTTTATAATGAATCTGCTGTGAGTTCTTTGAGCTTTTTTTTTTTTTTTTTCTAAATTTCTAGCAAGACCAGGAAAATTTTCCTCAAATATTTTTTTTATTTTTTTTTCCAAGTTTTTTGCTTTTTCTTCTCCCTCAGGAACACCTGTGATTCTTAGATTTGGATGTTTTGTACCTAAACCCATATTTACTGGAGACTTTGTTTTTTTTTTTTTTTTTCTTTTTAAAAATTTTTATCTGATTGTGTTAATTTGAAAGCCTTTTTTTCTTTTTTTGAAATTCTTCTTCTACTTGGTCCAGTTATTTCTTTATGTTGTTTTTTTATTTTTTTTTAGATATCATTTAGCAACCTAATAATTAACATTTTGAATTTTTTTTTTTTTTTTTCAAATATTTCATTTTGGTTTGGATCCATCACTGGAGAGTTCTTTTTTTCTTTTTTTGGGTGTTGTAGAACTCTGTTTTTGCACGTTGCCAGAATCATTTTTTTTGTTTTTTTTCATTTGGGTAGATAATTTCCTCTTATTATTTATTTTTTTATTTTTTTATTTTTTTATTTTTTAATTTATTTATTATTATTATACTTTAAGTTGTAGGGTACATGTCTGCATAACGTGCAGGTTTGTTACATATGTATACTTGTGCCATGTTGGTGTGCTGCACCCATCAACTCATCATTTACATCTGGTATCACTCCCAATGCAATCCCTCCCCCTCCCCCTCCCCATGATAAGGCCCGCGGTGTGTGATGTTCCCCCTTCCG